ATTCTATATTGGTGAATGGAACAATGGTTGACTTTTTTCCTGCTTTGAGAGGTATAAGACAAGGAGACCCACTCTCCCCCTTTCTTTTAACCCTGATGGCTGATGTGCTTGGGAGATTGATCCATAGAGTAGACTCGAGGAATCTGATAAAAGGGTGGAGAGTTGGTAGGGAGGAGGTACCACTGACACATCTCTAGTTTGCAGATGACACAATTTTGTTTTGTGAGGGTGGGAATATAAGCTAGATCCGGAATTTAAAATTAGCAATACAACTTTTTGAGCAGATGTCTAACCTCAAGGTGAACTTTGATAAGAGTTGTGTGGTGGGGGTGAATGTGGAGGAGAGGGAGTTAAGGAATTATGCAGGTGTGTTAGGTTGTGCAATCTCAGAATGGCCTTTGACGTACTTGGGCCTCCCTTTAGGAGATAACCCTAAGAATGAAAGCTTTTGGACTCCGATAGTGGAGAGATTTGAGAAGAGGCTTGCGTCCTGGAAGAGAAATTATCTTTCCTTAGGAGGGAGAGTCACTCTGATTAGGTCCACCCTACCTAACTTACCTGTGTATTGTTTGTCAATGTTTAAGATCCCCACCAAGGTCTCCAACTTATTGGAAAAATTAATGAGGAATTTTCTGTGGGAGCCGGGAGAGGAGAGGAGAGATCATAGGGTGAGATGGGAGGTGGTATTTAGATGTAAAAAACTAGGAGGTCTTGGGATTGGAAACATCAAGAAAAGGAATATGGTGTTGTTGGGAAAATGGTTGTGGAGGTTCACAGTGGAAAAGGAAAAATTGTGGACAAAGATCGTGGCTAGCATACATGGGCTGGAAGACAACGGGTGGGATTCTGGAATTGTGGCAAGGGCTACAGCTGCTTTTTTGTGGAAATCCATCCATGATTTGCTTCTAGTTTTCTTGCCTTGGATCAGGTACAATGTTAACTCTGGCAATCGAATAAAATTTTGGGAACACTTTTGGGTTGGGGTTTCACCTTTGAAGGACTAGTTTCCTTCCTTGTATGCTCTGTCAGATTTGGAAAATGAACCTATCTCTTCTTTTTTAGTTCCTTTAGACTCCACTTCTGGTTTTGGGTGGAACATCGGCCTGCGAAGGGCAATTAGGGATACAGACTTGGACAGCCTCTTACCTTTATTAGCCATCCTTGAAAATATCTTCCTTGATCCTAATAGGGAAGACACCAGAATTTGGATCCCTTCTACTTCAGGAACCTTCT